AATTGGCTTTAAACGAAACACGTGCCAAGATTTATCCGGGATATTAATTGGTTTATTGAGGCCGAATTTCGGCATTTCAATCGACGTACACGGGTAATTTAAAGAGAATTTGTGGTACGTAATCCCGTCAGCCCGGATTAGTAGCGTTTTTTTTATCTGTCAGTTACTCGTTGCGCAGGCTTAATTAAAGCCATCGGAGCGGCTACCGCCTTTATTTCTGCCAGCGTGGCAATAGTAGTTGGTCCTTAACCGAGTATGACACATTCCCCGAATAACCGGAGAGCCTCGTTATTACAGTTGGAAAACAAAAGGCTCTTTTTAGAAGGATTGGAGAGGAATTCCCGCTACCGTCGAGAGACCAGGTGGCTACAAAGAACCCGCTCCGCAACAGAAAAACTTAAGACAATTGGCGGGTGGTCAAGCAAGACTCGCAATGTTTACGTTCGTCCGCGTAACCTTGAATTTAAAACATTTATGTTCCATTCTCCATTCGTCCGCCACTCGTTGCCTTACCGTTGTAGGTGTTGCACGCTTCGATTTCGATTGTTTACGGGAGCATTCGGTCTTTACGCCACGACGTATCGGGATGTCTCGTTGACGGTTCGTTCACCCCTTTCACAGCGAGTTCTTTAACCTTTTCTTCTTAGTGATGTCCGCTGGTCATTGCTGAGGGCGTTGGCCATCCGCGGAGAGATGGATCATTAAGGGTCGAGAATGCAGGTGGATGCATAACCATTTTCTAACAAGAGGCGATTGTTGCAGTGGTAGAAAAGAGTGGGTGAAAGAGGCCCGATATAATCACGACAGGGTCGAGAATATTTCGACAACACAAGAAATCTTCAAACTAGTCGGGTGGGGCATTATGACTTTTCTACTAAATGAGGGGTTATCGAGAAGAAGAGTGACTGGCCAAAACACATACAGTCCATTGTTCTGGCAGCGATGACTATCACTCCCTAGAAGAAAAAGAATAAAATAGGGGAACACGCTCATTAAAATAAATGTTTCTGTCTTTAGACGGTAACAATTTCGACACAACGTCTAACAATTTCGTAAGATTAATCCCGAATATATTAAAAGTAAAAATACTTTCGTGCTTTTTCTATCGATAAAACTAGAAATGTTCGCTTTCTGACTCGACGATAAAAACTAAACTTTAAAGTAATGTAACAATTAATCAGTTTAAACGTGGGCATAGGTAGGCTCTATCGTCCCGAATCGGTGCGCTTATGTTCTACTGTCCTATTTCGTGCAGACAATGAAGTTTAGGTTAGTAAAACAGAAATGGCAGGATTCTGAGATCTTCCTCCTTTGATCTGCCAGCTTGTTAGGTCGAGAGCACCAGTCTTACAAGTGTTACGAAGGGGCTTACACTTGATCCTGACATAATTTCGCATAATCTGATTTCGTTACCTGGTTTCCTTTTTATGTCACGTAAATTGACCAAAGTACTAAGCTCAATTCCAAGCAGCCCGTCTTTCATTTTTAAAATATTCAAAGATACATAATCGATCTTTACGTACTTCGGTATCCCGTGTACTCGATTTCTCTTCATTCTAATTACTCTCTATTTCGGGTGTGAACGGTTTCCTAACGAGACATTTAAAACAGCTTCAGACTCGATGTTCTATAAAATATTCCTCTGTTTTATTCGTGTTATTGCCTGTACGATTAAAGTTCTACACAGTTCTACATTGTCTTAAAGATACTGGATAAATTCTAACTCCGTGTACGATGGGCTACTTAACACAGAGAAAACAAGAATTTCCGATACTTAAATATTGTCCAGAGATTAATTAACGTTGGGAAAGACGATTTCGAAAGATCTTCCTGTAACATAATAGTCTTTATTATAGAACGAGAGGGGAAAACTATAAAAAGTATTACCGACAAGACATTGTCAAAACGAATGTCCTTGGCACGCATTCATCCAACTGTTGTACGTTTGTCTTTCTTAGAAGTTAAACCAAGTAGCTCGAGAGAGGGTACTTTCGGCGTAAATTCATCCCGAAAAAATTCAATTTAAACGAGAAAAGTCAAAAATTCATTTTCGACTTTCGAAGGAAGGGGGAACTTTTCTTTTAATTAACCTCAAAAAGGAAAACAATAGTAGAATTCGCAGCCGATTCCTTTAATATAGATACTGTTACTCGTATACGTGTTAGACGGTATCCTTTAATACGATATTTAATTCGAAAGGTAGTCATGGATGAAGAATGGAAAAATTTAGAACAAGTCACGATTCAGAAATGGCAACGTGATAACGATTGAATATATTTTTATGCCTAGTAGACGTATGTTTTGTTTTTATGATTACTAAAAACACGAATTGGCCATTGACCAGGGGTTTAAGAATGAATTTGCCGAAGATCGGACGTATTCAAGGTTGATAGACTTGACACAGTTCCGCGTAGGTGTATACCTGTTGCTAAACTATCCCACGCAGCAGCACACTCGCAGCCTAACTGTTAACTCCCAATACCTATCCATATATGGCTCCGTGCACTTTTTTAAATCGACGGCTGTCAGACGACTTTCCTTCGAGTGCACAGTTGTTATAAAACCTCACATTCTTTCTATAAACTCAATCGATTTCTCTACAAAATATTTGCACGAAATTCAGATAATTCTTTGTTTTAAAGAGTTAAACCATGCGAACGATTAAGAAAATCACTGGGTTTCCTTTAAAGAATTACAAAAATTCAAAATCATCGAAAGAAATCGCGAGTTTGCGCGATTAATTTGCATTTATATCAACTGCAAACACGGTGAGTATTGTAACTCGCGTTGGATGAGGTTTCCTCACCTACATTTGTACCTAATATACCAAACTATAACCGGTTACTAATGCTTTTTTTTCTAAGAATTTCGTAATTTTAACGTCTGGCAATTCAAAATATGTAGTAGTTTAAGAATTATTCTAGGAAAGTTTTGACATAATATCCGAAGGTCAGAAAGACTAATGTAAAGAATCGTTATTTGTAAGAGCAATAAAAACCGATTGTCAAATGCAATCTACCTTCATTTTCCTCTTATATTTAAATAAACTCGTGGTAAACTTACATCTACATCATTCAAAACTACGAATCGCGTAAAATTCGGGCGTGTAAATCGACTTTAATAATATAAATTTATCAAATACACCGAATAAAACTGCGAAAGCCAGCATTACGAATATCCAGAAATATATATATTTACAATGGAGTTGAGACGTAACCTTGTAAACCTGGTAAACATTGCGCATCTGTTCTATGGAAACAGAATAGCGAGTTGGTCGAAGGCTCCAATTAAAAACCGATTTAGAGGGGGGTAGATGTAGAAACTAGAGTTTGAAATTAGCATGTAGAGCGTATCTTACGAGACCCGGGTGTAACGCTTTTGCATAACACTAAGCCAGTATTCTACGGATCTTTTTCACACACCGTTGATTTGTTTGCCACCTCATTATAATAATGATGAAGAGGTTACAGTTTTTATCCCTCTCCCCCTTATTGATGAAGATGCACGTAAGACAAAGGAAATTGCCTTTCGTATAAAAAATAGCTATAAAATAATTTTTTTTTCTTGCTATTGAGAATGTATACCTTTACGAAACACTTGGCTCTCGGTGTTTTTGAAAGTGGGACGAACTGGTAATAACTTATTTGCAAAGATGATTTATCAGATTTATTCAATTGATGTTTACTATTCGAAAAGTAATGATGAAATCAGTGTTTTTCTTTTATTTTTTCCTACAGCCATTTTCATTTATGTAGGTTGTAGGCAGGTGGACGAGTCGTATACTTTCGCAATTGGGGTAGCCTAATAACGTATCCGATTATAAAAATTGATGGGAATTTATAAATAATTCGCGTGCATTTACATTAATATCTCATTACCTCAAACGCCTACGCGTTTAATGAATTAAAAATCGCTAATGGCCGGCTTCACCACGGCCGTAAACGGACTAAAAATCTGTTTTACGCTCAGAAATTAATATTAGGCACATTTTAACAAACAGAAAACGGCAAGAAAATGCTTAAAATAATAATAAAACCAACAAAATGATTCAGTGCTAGATACTTCAATCAATTTAGAAACTAGAAGGACCGCGTACCATTAAAAATTCCCCTTTATTACTTTCGTCCCGGCCGCGCTAAAGGGAATTTATATACAAAATTGTCTATGTCAGAATTAGAAGTGAGATAATAGTAACGAAGTACTCGATATACCGAATGCGTTATCGACGTAACAAAAATTTTTTAAGTGGTTTAACCGGACGAGAACTTACGTCGTGCTATATCTGAAGATGCATCATACTACGTCCCGGCTTTCTTTGTGACGTTAACCGAGCTCCGGAAACAATCTACCAGTTGTTTTACACATTATCATCCCTTAAACCGTACGTAACACTACAAAAAGTGACGCGTTTAACGATATTACCGGCAATAATTCGATAATTAAGCGTAATCCGCCACAGAAATAGTCACGGAATTTATGTTAAATGTAAATTTTAAGTTACGCGGGTGACGTTTTACGAGTTTCTACGAGAACGACACCCCAGCTTTTCCGATGAAGCTCTCCCGTGTTTACGTATGTATGTACTGTACCGTACGTTTAATTTTCTACCAAATAAAGTCGGACAGATATTTGCGCGTAGAAGGCGAAGCAATTCCGACTAAAGAATTCGTCCGAACACACAAACACAAAAGAAAACAGTGGATAGATCGATAAGACGGGCGAATCTCCGCACACGTAACGCGAAAATAAATATAAGAAGAAAAACGCGCGCGGCGAAACACCCCAAAGTAGAACACGATAAGACGTAGGCCTTATAGAAACAGGTTGGGTGATTTATTGTACGCGGAGGACTCTTCTAGGCGATTTTTCGCAATACGGAAGTGGAGAGGGCGAAAAAAAAAAACGCGTGTAGGACAGAGAAAAAAGGCGAAATTGGAAGATGTGCGCGAGATTAAGAAAGGAGGGCGATGGAGACGATAAGCGAGAAAGACTGCACTCACCTGCGTTGCACCGAATCCTGGCGGCTACTAAAAGTGTCTTGGGATGCGGCCTATTAACCGAATCGAGGAAAGTGAAGTTTATAACCGGAATAGTAACGCAGCGGTCTCGGAGAAAGTCGACGGAGCTTAAAATAATGTCACGAGACACGTCAAGACGTTATAATTTTCGCCGTTCACACACGAGGAAGTGGCATTTGCCCGAGCAATCGACAGCGCCGGGAGTCATTGCACTCCGCTAAACGTCCATCCTCCTCCTTCCGCGCAGCAACCGCGACTGAAGCCGTGTGATCCGCGTCTCTACCCGGCAACTGGTCCCGGATCGGTCTACTCCTCGGGGGGGGGTGTCGGCGCGCACCTGGATGTTGACCTTTATTCCACTCGATTTACCCGACGTCTCCCGCGCCGTCGACGTTGCCGCTGGAAAACAACTACGAAAATCCCCCGTGTCCGCCGGTTACGTAAATTACGCCCGCCTATATTTATGGCATTTATACGTAGGCCCGGGTCCGGACCGGTGGCCAACGTGGCCCGCCGTTTACTCCGGCAAACTCTTACCTTTTCTTTTGTGTTTTGCGGTGGTTGTTTATTTGGAAGTCGTCGTCGTTTATTATTGTTTTTCAAGCTCTATCCAGTTTGCCATTAATCGCTCGCTTCGGAAAATATGCAATTCCCACGCTCCGAGACAAATTGATCAAACAGGTTTTTTTAAGAGGAGAATTTGGCAGCGAAAAAAGGCGTTGCTCCCGTAACAGTTGCACGTGAAGCGCGGGCGTTACGTCGACCCGGTCGAGTGCCACCTGCCCGTCCGCGCACCGTGCGAAAATCTTCTCCGTTCGCTTTACTGCCGTCCTTCCCCACTTCCTATTTGCCTATCCACCGTCGTGCTCGGCTTTCGCAGTTTCTACTGCTGTCTGCTTTTCACTTTTAACCTTCTGCTCACTTTGTTTTCCTCATTTGCCCGCATTCTTCCTCCATATTTGACCACTTCTATTCGATTTTCGTGGTTTCTCTACGTCTTCTTCGTCTACTCGTTTTCGTGGTATAAATGCTTGTACAGTACGTGGCTTTAAGTATTGTATTTGATTTTATTAGGTTTTACTAGGGTTTCTGCCACTGTATTTGTCTACGTGATTTCCAGGCTCTCTGTAAATATTTGTACGGTTTTTAATTTTAATGGCTACTTCGTTTGTGATTTTTACTCTCGATTTTAATGGAGTTTACGCGCCATTTTAATGTTTCCTTCTTATATTTGTTGTCGATTTTGATGGATTTTTCTAAATGCTTCTGTTGATTTTAATGGTACAAAGTGTTATTAAATACCAATCTTCACGTATCTCGTGTAAAAATTTTCGGGTATTTAATTTTTTACCTTCCTGAATTTAAGCGTATTTGAAATTTAACTTTTTTACCTGGCAAATTTCCGAGGAAAACTTCTAAAATCTCAAAAAAATACGAAAAATCGTTCAAAATATTTTCTAAAAATTCAAACTTTTCTTAAATTATGTTAAATTCCAAAACTTTAAGCAAATTTTGCATAAAAAATATTTAATTTAAAAAAAAAAAACAATTTTACGGATGACTCGCGCTGCTTTTTTGCCGAATTGGACCGAGTCGAGGGACGATTTTGGTCGAAGTGGAAAAGTTTTTGATCATACAAGTCCTATATATTAATATTAATCTGAAATTTCCACCTAAAAATTTACTATTTTACTGGAATTTCGTCGTTAATATTTCAATAATTAGCTTCTTCCCAAACTCTTCGACTAGTTAAACAACTTAATTTGCATCGATTTGCATTTAGATAATGTCTCTTTTTAAAAAGTTTCTGGTCGGAACCAGTGTTCTTATCGACACGAACCCCTCCGTTGTGCCCGTAGCTAATTAAGATTAAGGCAAAATCTTCCGATATTACGAAAGTTAGAAAAAATTCAAAAATTCCAGAATTGATGAAAGTTATTTTGTTTTAATTTTACTAATTAACTTGTCACATAGTTCCCTGTAAGCCATGCATTAACTTCGTCTCTTTCATTAGTAATAGCCAATCGTAGCGACGTTGCGTACCGCACGATACATCTTTTAATAGGATTTCGACGTACAGTAGAACACGAGCGAAAGCTTTGTTTCGGTATCGATACAGAGAACGTCATATATTGTAATTGCAGGGGGAAAAAGTATTATTTTTATAAGTTTTATATCTCGGATATCCGCGAAACGTGACCAGTTCTATAGATTTCTTATAGAGTTAAGTATTGTCGAAAACCTCACCCAAGAAACATTTGTCTAAATTTAAAAAAAAAAAAACAGGGGGCAACTCTCGAATATATTTTCGAACAATACCGAACGATCGTTACAAACTGCACGATTTTTACGAAAATTTTGCGCCATCGTGAGAATATGACGTCACCCGGAAACAATGTATTTGTTGGTACGAAAAAACGTGAAGTAATATTTTGCTACGCCAATTGGAAAATAGTAAAAAATCTTTCTCGACGGCTGAAAAATCCCGTTGCAATTTAGAAGTTGGCGAGCGAACACCTCCAAAAAACGAGGATAATTGCCTGACATAAAAATAAATCTAAAATACGCACTAAAAAATTCGTTTTTATACGAAAATATCGTGAAAAAATTCCACTCCTTTCGAGTTTTCGAGTTCGTTCCAGGAAAAAAAAAAACAAAATAAAATAAAAAAAAGTGAAAATTGGGGACATTAAACACACTCTAATTAATAGCGTTTTGTATAGTCTCAATTCGTGATAAATGTAAATTTTGTTTTGGTGTGTTAAAGTTAAGAGTTTTCTTGCCCTCTGTATTTTCATCCGACGTACAAAAAAGAATGGCAGCTCTTCCAATAAGATTAAATATCCATTGTCCGTCCGTCAAACTGTATCTTTTGTGTGACGTTGATAAAGGAACAAATGCGATCCTCGTGCTAATGTATAGATTCATTAAATACACCTGTACCGCGAAACGTGTCACTTAAATATTTCGCTTAATTACTCGAGAATATGCGCGTAATTGATAATTAATGACGTCATTTATGAGGATTTTAACACTCGTCGTGCGATAACACACACTGTTCGGCATGCCGAAGCCGGAAAAAAACACTAAAAATAAGAGCGAATAATGCCGATAAGGTGGGTCGTTAAGTGTTTAAAACATATCCAGTAGAGGTGTTAAGAATTTTTAAACAATAGCTAATACTAAATCAAGCGTTCTACTTACCATAACTTACGTCAGTTTCTTGTTGTTAAGAAAACACTTTTAAGAATTTTAATTCTTTCGATAACAATGCCTACGTGATGTTATTAAAGCTTTAAATTGCCATTATAAAACTTTTTATTAAAATATTACACAGTTCTATTAAAAAATTCAATTATTAAATTACTTATTAAGACGGATGAAGCGTTACGAGATATTATTTATAATTAACAGATGGCGTTTTCGTGTTCTAAATCGTATTAAAATAGTAGGTGGCGCTACAACACTCATTTATTAAATTAGCGAGCGGCGCTACTGTTGCGAACATATACTTTCAAATAATAGGCGGCGCTGTAAATTCTTTTACAATTATTACAGGTGGAGCCGTATACTATCGATTATAACGTCTCGCAGCGCCATCTGTTATGGTTTTTGTAAAGTAAAGCGGCAAAAAGACAAATTACCAGAAATATTCACGAATATTTTTGAAATTTTCTAAAAACACCTGGAAGGTTATTACAAAGTGGATTTAAAAAGAAAACAGTTTAAAGACCTATCAGCATTATTCTCTCTTCATTATCTTTCAGCAATATCACGTTGGCTTCGAAGTCGTTAAGCTAAAAAAGAATGATATAAGATTTCATGACATGTTTAAAATATTTTCAAGGCTTTTAAACATAGTTTATTTAAACTGCAGTTTAATTGGTCATCGACAATTTCCAGTGTCACGTCTTAAGATAGCTTCCGTGTGTTTTAATGTTCCTTTTTTTTTTCGTGTGTGTGCGGTAGTTGAAGGGTTGTTTTTCGACAATACATCAGGGTGCAGTCTAAAAACCTGTTCCATTTGTGTTTAGGTATACAAAAGTGCCTGGTACAACAATCTACAAGTTTGGCGTGAGAATCCGACTCCGCCCAATTTTTATAAAAACGACGAAATAACTTATAGAACCGTGAATGTGTATCGTACGGGTCTTTAAAAATTTATCTAATTCCATTGGAATTTCGTCGCAGTTCTTGAACACTCGAACTAGTCGTAGGCTACACCTCGATCAAGTACAATCTGAATTAATTTTTTTTTTTCCTTCCCTTAAAATAAATACAGCGTGTTCTTTTCTCGGAAACGTGTACTTTGTGTTCCTCCATTGTTCGGGCACTTTTTCAACAATGGCGGAACACAAAATACCGTCTTAACGTTTAAAAAAGTGATATTTCTTAGTGATATAGAAAATTAACCATTTTCCATCGATCTATGCTACTTTTAAACGGTAGATTATGTAATTCTGGGCGCGTCTGTCGGTCACGCTATGAAACTCGATCACTATTTGCAATGAATAAATTCAAATTAGCGAGAGTTTTTCTATACTTAAGACTTTCCAAACACAATATTATTATGTTTTTTTCGTTTATCAAATATGTAATACAGCGCTGTTTCATAATATTCTCGTTTACCTACAGAGAATTGGGTATTTAGAAATAGTAGAAATTATATTTTTCAATTATCTCGGGAGAAATAAATTAAAAATATACAAATTTAGTTTAAAATAGTTTGTAACAAGTAAATGGCGAGCGATGGCTTCATATCACATAGCATTAGAAGAGAAGACCAGTTTAGAAAGGTTGAAAAGTACTAGATGTTCTTAAAATAACTATTCTTGCTACATTTAACTCGTACCTTTTATAAAATAAATTTATTTAGATAAATAATAGAAAAGCCGAGAAAAAGAAGAGTTTTTTGGTGTACAGAGGTTGTTTTTATGCAACCAGTTACAGGTACAAATAGAAAGAATCCGTTGTAGAAAGTGTTTTCTTTGCTTTATAATTGCGCATATTTTCTATCGTATGTCTCGAAATGCAACTGTCGTGCTTTAATTATTAAGAAAACATTTTAAACTTTTTGACTGGACGATCATTTTAAAAAATTACTATAATTTTCTCGAGTTTGAAAATTATTCATGTTCATCCAGTTTGAGTGGATGGTTTAATAGGTGTTTCGACAAGTTGTTAAGAACGTCTTTTGTTTTTATACTTCGTGCACGGGTAAAAACGACGGAAAAATAAAAAGATCGAGGAATTTTCTAAGTATTTCGGGCTAAAATTATCTCTAATTTTGTAAATAAAGATTCATTTTTTTTATATTTCGAGCTTAACTCGAATCTCAATTTTTGATATACAATGCGATAGTTTTAGCTTAATGCGAGAGATGCCCCGTTGTCATATAATGTATTTCTCTCACACTAAACTTAGGTTTTCTGTCTTTTCAGTCGGTATAGAATCTATTAATTCTTAGAGAATCTTACCATCTATTCTTCTCAGAAGGAGAAAGTGGACAGGAAGTAAGATAAGCGAGTAATTAATATGGCGTTTATAGATTTTAATCTACGAAATAGCCTGAGATGACTCCACATTAGAAGGAATTCCGGTGTGAGACTTCAAGTTTGTAAAGTAGAAAAATTACTTTTAACAGTAAGAGCGAAATGCCCTACCTTCGATTTAATAAAGGAAAATGTCGGATATACAAAACTTTTAGATATTGAAAGAAGGAGAAAAAGGAAGAGGAAGATGTCGTAATGTGTGGGAGGAGCGACTCCCATGTATTACGAAGGTTGTTCCTCCCACGCATTAGGGCATCCCATTCATGGAAGGGAGTTACCCATAAGATGCCTTAATGGATAACATCGTACGAGTAACTTCGACTTTTCTAAGGACGTGGATATTTTTAAACAAAATTCCTCTGTATTATCTTTAATTCGTATATTCACTCTTCTCGGTTTATTCTTTAGCATTAACTGACCGATACAAACATTCAAAAATTAAAATTTTTAAGTAATAGATGGCGTTTTGCCAATGCAACAATTAAGTAACCCGTACGTATGCAAATTTTTACTATTTTTTTTCCTAATGTTTTTATATTTTCGAATCAAAAACAGAAATAAAAGCATAATTAAACACCCGGTAATCATTTACACGCCACATTTAGAAGAAAGAACGAAATCAAAGTTCGTGAATTAATTTAATTAAAAATTCTTTACCGTTTAATTATAAGTAAATTAAATAGGAGTAGATGCTTGGTTTTTCCTTAATAGACGATGTCCTCGGAAGGAACTTTATCAAATTGCTACAGCGTACGTTCGGCTGTAGAGATACCATATCAAATTGCATGCAATTTCCAATCATACAAGATAAAAGTTCATCCAACCGTTTCACCCCCACGAAAAATAATAGAAAATGATTTCATCTCGAAAACTTTTTTCTTCTTTACTTTTGACAGCTTGGTGATTTATTTATAAAAAGAGAGAATTCGAATTAATCGAATATTTTCTGACTTTCGATCATCTAGATAAAGGTCGAGCGTAGCATTTCCTGGTCATTTTTCTGTTCTAATGATAAAAGGATGGCGAAAACAACCACGTACCGGATCCTTAATGGATTTTCTCAAATGATCCTTCCAAAATAATTCTGATATATTATCCTAAATCATTTTTAATTAGAATAGATATTTATATTTAGCATAAAGCATGGTCGACGGAGCATCAAAAACTGGTTGCAAAAGTAAAAAAATTCAACACAGAATCAAAACAAGAGGACTCAAATAAATGTACAGAACCCGGGATCGAGTGTTTTAAATTATTAATAAAGTTTTAATTGCTTCGAAGGAAATTAAAACGCTTTTAATTTTGCGGGTTGGTAGATGAGATTACTTTTTATCTATCAGCCACACAAATTTTCAATGTATTCGGATTAAAAAGTAAAGTTTTATAGCTATAAATATGAGGAAAAATGTTTCCCGAATTCTATTCAAAACAATTAATATTTTAAAAATTGTATACGTATATTTTTAAAAAAATACAGCAAAAATTGAAAAATCAATTGCGACGCGTGTTCAAACACGTTAATAATTGTTTAAATTTGCATACTTAATAGAAAAATGATTAAATGGCTCAATTACCTCCTCTTGTGTTATCGAAGTCGACGATTGTCGATTTCAATAATCGATTTTAAATAAAACAATTGCTGTGTTTCGACTAATCGTGTGTCATTTGAGCAAGTTAAACAATCAATTTCAATAATGGGCAATTTTTTATTTAAAATATATTAGAAAACAATCGATTTCAACCACGCTAATTTGATTCGATTGTTCAATTTTCGTAAGAGAAACAATTGTGACGTGGAATAGTTTTATGAAATAACTTTATTTTTTAAAATTTCAAATAATTAGACGGCAAGTCGAGTGTTACATTCAAGTAAGTACATTTCCGCAGGTGACAATTTTTAACAATTACAATCGATGGACTGTAACTAGAAAAAACTAAAAAGAAATGAAGTAGATATAGAAACAATATTTTGTCAATGCCATCTTTCCCGTTCGACCGAGTCAATGACCAGTCGAACGAACACACAAAGATTTTAATAATGGTGGTCTGTGGGTTTTTCACCCCTTTCTCCAGAATATACAAATACCTGAGAGTTCGTGAGGCAAGTTAATGATGATCATTGTTCGACCATGATTTCTACGCCGAGCGGCGACTTATCAACCAGACTGAGCGACTTCCGTCTCGGTGACCGGAAGTACATCGCCCTCTAGCGGATAGAAAGTGACTTTTCCAAAGCTGGCCGAAATAATGGAGCGTGTTGACGAAATGTTTTCACCGACGCTCCATTGATTTTTGGCTCGGACGTGTATAAAAAAATCGTCCGAGATGTTTTATTTAGCAACAATCGAATGGCAAAAACATTGTTTCGCACAAGTAAAACACGATTTCGACTTTCACGCCAGCGATTATTCTTTATTCTTTCGGTTTTTTTAAATGCGTGGAGCATATCACACCGTTATAAAATTAATTACTCGGTGTATGTTTTGCAAAGCATTATTTGACTATGTTACCATCGGATAAAAATCTATATCGAACCAATCGAGCGTGAAATTATCTGGCTAACGAGCCAACCCTTGGGTATAGGTGGGTGAGAATATGTTTCCAGAGGTGGACTTGTGAAAAAATGGCACCGTATCATTAAATTCATCTCTAGAATCGATATCAAGATGAGATTTCTTTATAATTCTTCGATATATTAATTCGTTGGTGTGTTGTTACGCAAGTTGATCAACTCGTTTCTTCTGGATACACGGCTGACACAAATGATGGGAAAATGTCAAAGGTCCTCCAAATTCTGTTCTTTATCTATTATCGTAGACTCGTAAGTAGTTTATTAAAAACTCTTTTAATAAACCTACCGAATGTCGGGTAACTGTCTGTTCGATGCCACATTCACACGTTAATAGTAATTCTGTTCCTTACAAAAAAAAGAAAAAAAAAAACTAAATTGCCTTCATTATCTCGCATTCTTTTCCACATAAAAGACGAAAAAAGGGGTAAATTATACGTGGCAATGGTGGAATTTAAGCGCGTAGAATGTCTTTAATAAAGGCGAATCAACGAAAGACAACTTAATTAAGCCAATACAATAAAAATCATTAAGTAATCACTCGACAGTCCGGTCGAATGTTTTGTTGTTGAGTAATTTGAGCGTAGTTCTTGTCTGTTCAAATATTTAAGCACCACTCGATTAAAAAGAAGTCTACTCCGTGATAAATTAAGCCACAAACCAACGAATGTGTCGAGTACAAGATGAAGTTTAGTGCTCAGAATCGTGTTTCCGGTCGATAATATTTGAATGCTTAATAATAATAATAATAATAATATCGAACGAGGATTTGAGGAAGTGTAATTTTAATTGAATTTATGGGAGAAAATTTGAATTAATATAATCAATATTATTTTTTTTAACGAGTCTAAAAATTCCATACAAGTTACGACTGTAGTAGCTTGTTACGGATCTCGGAGACTTTCGCGTTGCGTAGGACGGGTATGTTTGGAGGAAAGTGTAGAATGTAATCAGATAAGGCCCCAAAATGAAATTGGAGAGAGTCAATCCCATTACTTTTGTGTTCTTGTAAACAAATTATATTGGCATAATAAATATACCTTTCGTTTGAAATTGTAACGCTTAGTAAAAACTTTTTTGTCAATTATAACTACGATAAATAAAAAGAAAACTTCATTTGAAAACCCTCTGGAATTAGGGCCCTAACAAATATCTTCTTGTTTCGGTATAACGCGCCATTATACGATTGAGTGAGTTTATAAAGTTTTCAACGATAACACCAGAGTCATGTTTTATACGGGGATTTAATCCGAAAAACCTTAAAGTTGTAGACTGCAGAAATGCAAGCGTTGCACTCGCTAACACGTAGTGCAATTACCAATTTTTCTACAGAATTAGCACACGTTCAAAATTCCAACACGTCATAATTAATTGGCATAAAATCTTACACAATACTCATAACTATTTTTTACTTTTTAATCTTTAAATGACTAAAATTAGCTGCGGCTGAATATTAAACGTATCAAATTCCTTAATATTTACTTAATTAATATGCGCGCTTTGGTAAATAATAATTATTTTTGGTTGTGCGTTAAAATACAGCAATTTAAATTTATTAAATAAATTTAAAATAAGAAAAAATAAAAAGTTTAAAAAAAATCTTTCCAACACTTCTATAACATTGTAGGTGGCGCTAACGCACGCTATCCTTAAACCAGAGTTCGTTGCCTTGGCAATTGATCAAAGCGATTTAAAAAGATAAAAACTAACGCTAGCGCCATCTACAATTTTTTTCCTTTTAATTTAATAACGTTTTTTGTAGATTTTGTAATTTTCCAAAAATATTTGAATAAGAATAAAATTAATCGTTATTTTTTGCGGGGAGAGAATTTAAATGTCGATAGAGTTTTGAAGTTTAAAGTTTTAACTTTTTTATTTTACATCCCGCCATCTATCGGATGCAAACCACATTATCTTATCGAATAGTTTTATCAATGGTTTAAAATTGAGCAAACATCGTAACTACGTATAAAAATATATTTTCTTTTAATGATATGTTAATAGCAGAATTGTAAAAAAATATGTTAATAGAGATTCCCAGTCTCATAAATAAAATTTACATTAAAAAGTCTCTTCCTCATCAAATGGTGATTTTACGCAGATGAAATATTTTACACGTGTTCTATACAATAAGGATTTTTAGGATCATTTTTGCCACTCTTCCTAGAATCTTTCCTGTCCATCCTCAAGGAAGAAAAGTCCTCGCTAGAACCGGATTTAAACCACAACGCCGCCGTATTGGAGCTTTCTTCGGTTTGCTGCGTGTTCGATTCTTTCGCTTTCCTCCTCCAGGCGTGAGGCAAACTGTAACGAGGATGAAAGACGCAAGGCTCGTTGCTCGAAGGCTGTACCAAGGCTTTTCGCGGTAACGTGCGCGAGCCTCTAATGAAGACTTGAACTTTTCTTCCTCCCAAGTAGTGTATATCTTTCGGATGAATGTATCCTTCGCCGTTATTGAAACTGGAGACTCTATTTTTGCGATTTTTCCTCCACGTTTTTGGGGTGAGATAACCTTCGTCTTCGTTTGTCTCGTTAGATTCCTGTTCGGTCGACTGCACCGACTCTTCGTAATCCGGAGACAATGTGTAATTTGATGATTCGTCGGTTGTGGGTGGCGTAGGTTCGTCTGCGGGGGATTGCGTTTCGGTTTGTGGAGCCAGGACTTCGGGAGTACTCGCTAAAGGGGGGATTTCGGAAATATTCAACGGAGGAGGAACAACCGGAGGACTTATCGAAGGAACTTGAGGTATACCCACCGGGGTTATTTTCTTTTTTTGACTTCCTAACGTCGAACCAAAGTAACGAAGATTTTGCAAATTGGAATTTGGCTCCATGTTACCCTCTATTTCTACTTTTTTATCATCATTTAAATTATTAGATACTATATCTTCTTCTTCCAGAGGAGATTTATGTTCCTTCTTCAATAACTTATCCTTCAGTTTTTTGGCACGGCACTGGAAAATCGATTTGGGACAACAGAAGAATATGATAACTGCCACGAAAACTGTGGTTGTGGTAGAAACCGTGGTTGCGACTGCTATTTCCGTAATTGGCAAATTTTCTTCTGCCACAGTCGTTACTTCTTTGCAAAGGACGTTTTCCGTTTTATGATTCACCGTCCCGATTGGATAAGATGGAATATTAATTGCGTCACGTCCTTCTACTACCGAACCCGATTCTAGACAAACCGTGTACCCAAAACCCGGCTGTAAGTTATCTACGATATATTCGTGATTTTTATCCGAACGAGGAACGAAAGGCGTTTTTACGATCATCTGTGTGACATTTAATGTAGCGAAACGACGAATGCTTAACTTCCAAATGAGTTCTCTAGCATCTATTGACGTATCTGTTCTGTTTTCCGTAATAACGTGCCATTTAACTGCGATTGTCCTTTCTGTTGTAGATATTCCAGTTAAAACAATAGCAAATTTAGGGCTTTTTTGTTTTACGGAGGGTTCGGTAGTTATTTTATGGCATCTGGCAGGTTCCATCAGATACTTTTTATTTTGCGTTATGGCCACGCAGATTATATAAGTTGTGGCGGGATCCAACTTTTCGATGTGATCGCGAAACACTACTTCTCGTTTGGGTCCCTCCGAAGAGTGTTTGATAATTCTGTGGTCGTTGCTAAGGATCAATTGATAAGGGCTGTCGGTAGCTCGACGATAAACGAGACCCCAAGAATCGAAACCTTCTCGTTCTACCACCCAGGTGACGATTATAGAATGTGAAGTGGTAGTAGTTGCTAAAATTCTGTATTTCCACGTACTTTTGTGGATATACCTGACAGAATTCTTCTCTTCCGGACACAAACGTCGTTGTTCTATAGAAGAAAGATGTAGTCCTCTATTGTGCTTCGGAGACTGACAAGCAGGAAGCAGTACGGTATTGTTACTGTGATGATGCCATTCGTAAAGCCAAAGAGCTTCGCAATTGCATTCGAAAGGATTATCTATAAAGAAATTAGTTGTAATTAGGTTCCTTATACTAATATTACATTATTCCACGTATAATTTTGCACGCACGAGGTCAGAAATTTAAAAATTAAATCTACAGAAGAGAATTTCATAACTTTCTTATCTAAGTAATAATAGTTTCGTGCAGCAGTCTCGTGACCTGTATGAAGAGGTTATACACCCTTTACCTTTTTAAATGTAATGAAGTGACACAAAAGAAAAATATGAAGTGGGACTCTCTATTATCCTTAATATTATAAATGATGTTCAAAATCTATAATTGAGCCTTGGAGATGCTTCTGTAAGACTCAATTACTTTTACATGTTTTCGTAACATCGGTACAATCACGTTTGGTATCTGTTAAGAAAAATTATCAGTACTGGAATTATAACTAAAAACAATGGCTTAGACAGACAGAACACGAGAAAAAAACCTCAAATTCCTATCAAAGGCGCTATATTAGAATGAGGCTAACCTGATAAGTAAGATAAGTAGGACAAGAAATGCCAGGTAGGCCTATACGTTCAGAAATCTAGACGTTTTTCAATGAACAAAGGAAACAATCATTTATTCCCAAGGCGAGCGGCATTGCTGCTTTATAACCTTGAAGGTTTTCAATAGAATTTTAATAATCCTTGCACGGGTGGATTACTAAAACAAAAATAAACAATTGATTCGCGTTTAATATGTAAAGTTTCATCTTTCGAAGCATTCCTCGATGAATTGAAGCAACTGGTTTCAACGTAACAGGAATTGCTCTCAAAAATAGTTTGCTAATCATTATAAGAGTAATCAACATAAAATCAGTAACTGAGAATTTCAAGAAAATAATTAAATTTGTGAAAAGAATAGGCTCAATAAGACCACTAACACGAAATAATCATTGTCGAAGCAAATAAAATTCCTGATTTCCAAACCTTATTTTTCTAGTCCGAGCAATGAGATTCGATGCACGTTCGCAACGATGAACAATAAGTAATTGATTAAATCTATTTATTATGGGTTCAGATCACATACGATAATGTTTACTGCAGTTAAAATAGAGCAGCGCTACGGGTTAATTATCCAGTAGCTGGTTAAACAACTGGCAACATCCTTCTATTATTAATTTCGTACTGTTTTTTAGTCGAAAATAACTTGCTTCGAAATCATCTCCGAAACAACAATATTAATTTAGAAAAAATATCGTGTTAAATGCATTAAGCATACTAATTAAGCACTCACCTGAAAGATCTAGATGAGACAGCTTAACCGGAAGCGAATAAAAGGCCACGCTTTGTATCAAGTTTGAATTCAACAACAAAACTTCCAACTTGGGTAAAAGATGGTTGCTGAATTCGGGAAGAGCTTGGATCAAGTTATGACTAAGATCGATATAACGCAAGGATGGAAATGACGTCTTGAACACTTCGTCCGGAACTTTACCCAATTTATTTCCCTTTAAACTCAACTTGATTAAGGTTTTGACAGTGACACCCAAATCAAAATCTTCTCTCCCTATATTAGAGGCTAACAAGCGAGTTTGGTTGGCAAGAGGCTCTGAAAAATTCGGGTGTCTGACGTCTGTCACGTGTCGGGAGGATAATCCTAAGAAATTTCTATCCAGGATCAATTCTCTCAGGTTTATCAATCCATCGAAGACGGGGCTGGGCCTGAGAAAAACTATTTGATTGTCACTTAGATCTAACACTTTCAAATTCTTCAACACAGAAAGAGCGTATGGCACAGCGTGCAATTTGTTCTGCGAGAGATTCAGCATTTTAAGGGTCTCGCCCAATTTGGAGAATGCGTCGGGGTAGACGAACTCCATCCGACAACGAGTTAGCGATAAGGATTCGAGACTGGTATTGAAGGATGGAAAAATGTAAGGAAGATGAGGAACCACTGAATCCGTTATTTCTATAGACTTAGTTTGTATACTGGCGTTTGCCGCAGCATCTAGAATCCTTACAGAGTGGATAATGTTATCTAAAGTGGTATTTCTGCACATCATGTTGAGGCGATCGGGTTCGTAGCTGCACCCCAACGACGAAGGTCTCGAAGTCTGGCTCCCACCCAACACCACCATTGTAAACAGCAGTGAGACAAAATATAAGTATCTCGGGTAGGTCATCGTGTTCTGAAAATAAAACGTTTCTGTAAGCAAAAATTTGTTAACCAACACTCGAAATGTGTGTAAATTCTTCACTAGATCCTTATCGGGCGTAAACAGTAGGAAGCGTTTGACCACGTTTGCCGAGCAACTTTTTGCCAGTAGAATGACCCGTCAGGTATCGAGTACCTTCACCTCAGGCACTCGATAGTAAACAATAAAAACAGTGTTAACCTTTAGAATTAGGGACACAAAACCATCATTCGGTCGAATCGTGATGAGCAAAAAATACATTTTCAACATTTTAAACACCTCCTAAGCTCCAAACACGGCACAGGAATGACATAGGATCGAGAATTTTTGTACACGTTCCGAGTTAGTGACGCTTAATTAATGTTCACGTTGGCGAAACGATACGCAAATACAGAAACACTACCTACCTGATATTAAAGACGTTGTTAGCACCTTCCACACGTCGAGCCAACTGAAGCAGAATATCCACAATGAATTACAGGAATGTCGGTTTGATACCGGTAGATCGGGATCCAAAGTAGGTCACGGCATTTTTTTTTCTTCTTTGCATCTATTCGTGGATCGGCTTCATTAAGGGAAGGCAGATGTGGTGTGTGTATGTATATAGCGGTTCCATTACCTGGCCATAAATCTGCATTCTTCTGCAGGTGAGTGTCTCGTTTTCCCCTTTTTGCACCCCTGTATTTACCGTTTGTACCTTTAAGCTAGTTTGCTCTTCTTACGGGATGGTTTACTTTTTTTTTATTCTCTCTTTCCATCTCTGTCAACATTCACTTTAATAAATTAGGAAGCGCAAATCAATTGTTCAACAGTTTAATTGCGTGCGTACGAGGGTAATGATCGATATTTGCAGGAGATACAAAATTCTAATTTTACTACTAATTTTAAATGATCTTAAAGATGCGATGCATAAAAACTGCAAGATAATTCTACATTTTTGTAATCTACGAACACAGAAATCGCACACCACACGTAAGAGATAGTTATATTTGACGTAGGTTCCGGTTTGACAGATGATTTAGTGTTTTGCACGCTACAAACAAACGTTTAGGTATGTCGTATTTTTCTTATGTTTATAACCCAATTCTAAATAATGATTCCGAGATAAAGCCACCATACTAGAGACCTGCCCAAGTTATCGGTGATAAGAACCAACGTTAAATTTTTTTGAGGAATTAAAGAGAATTTTGTGACTACGATAAATACCCATACATTTTTTTAAATAGAAAATACTAGAGCTTTCATTTTCTCATAGTTTTTAAGCCACTTTGAGAACTACATTGATTGTTTTACTTAAATTTATGCACGTAATAGCAAACACGTATATATATATATATATATATAGACTATACTGTATATCTACATGGAAGATCAATTTTGGAATATTCAACCAGTTATGGAACTAGAAAAAAGTGCAAAATTATCAGAGAAGAAAACTTCTAACGAAGAATTATCGCTAAAGGCATACTTTACATTATGTCATCCAGAAAAATGACATACCATCTTGTACTAAGCGTGATACTGTCCTCGTAACCGAACACATTTTCTGCACTGCTTCGTAACTCTCACACCTTCAAAGTGGGTTAACGTGTTTGATGGCTTTACAACTTTAATTACATAACTTCCTACTCTAACCTATCGTGTAGTGTGACACACGAGGAATAATCTGTTTAAACGTAGTGCCATTAACACCTGTGAAGTTCCATTTTTAACACAGAGATCTGGAGCAAATGAAATAACATCAAAGACTGGTTTTCCGGTTAATTAAGACAATTTAAACTGGAGGTCCTTTTCAAGGATATATGAAAATTAATTCTATTTATAGTCTCTCATGCTTTACACTTAACAAAGTAAATTCAAAAGATAGAAAAAGTTGATGCTGGTCTATTTACACGGAAGAGAATTTTCTATAAGTAAATAAAATCTAGTAAAACTGAATGCACCTAGTCGTGAAAAGTAGAGGGAAGTTGTGTTCCTACTCCTAAGTTGTAAGCAACAGTAATACATGCATCAAATTCATTGGTCTCTTCATATACGGTTTTAAAATCATTAGTTCTTAGAAAATATATAGGAAACGCGTTTGGAATATTTACTTAATTTTAAATTCTCAATATAAATTTCAATGTTATTTCAAAGTAATTGGTAGGTAGATTCTGTTGTAAGGGGTCTCGGGACCATTTGGATCAGGCCTCAAAAACGATTATTATAAATCATTCATTCTATTGCATTTCTTGTATAGTAAGAAAAAGATTATTAAAAATTTGACAAAAATATATATTTTCTTTCTTAATACAAGAGCTTCGATTGTAGTGGCCTGTCGAGACATCGAGAGAGGCTCTATAGATAAATTGTAAAAACTCTGAAAAACAAATTAAAATAATTAACATTTAATCAAGCATTCCATTGTTTTAATTCTTTTCAATTCTTTAAGACAGGGTTATCTAGAGATGGAAGCTGGGTTTTCCCCAGGCCCAAAATAAACTTAGGAGCCTGTATTAGTTCCTTTCCTTATAAAATAAATTTTATTTTAACTAACAGATAATAAAATCTTTCAGACTGCTTTTTATTAATAAATAAATATTCTACACATTTCATTTGTACAAAAACAAAGCAATTAAGGGGCAGCATACGAGTTCTCAATGGCCCTGCTTATACTTTTATAAACGTAGTCCATCTTTCATATGACATTATATAAGAGGTAGTTTCCATTAATCAACGGTCTACTAATACATGTGATTCTAATATAGCAACAAAGTACTTGCAAATAAATGTCTAGATTAAGACATTTAATTATAACAGTACTTTAGAAAACTGGAAAAAATAATGTATATGTTTCTATTATGTAATATATAATAGAAATTTTATTCTATGTTTTCTATTGGAATTTTCAGTTCTTTAATATTATTGTAGTCTTTTTTTAATAAAGTCCTTGAGCATCATAGACCAGTGACAATTCTAGTATTAAACTAAAGAAGCTTAGGATTCGGGAACCCCTAAAGCAATGAGAGAATTTTCAAAAAAACTGATGAAGTTTTTTAAGCGTTTGGAGCGTATTCTTAAGTGTTTTAAGTAATAGATCTTATTCTTATAGTAAAATAAGCCTATTTCAGTCAGTGGCGTAGCGTAGTGGGGGCAGCAAAATTTCACAATAAATAATAATATCATCTTGTAAAAATTTAAACCATTTCATTTCATATTTTTGTCTCACCTACGATTCGGGCGATTGAAATGAGACCGGAATTTTTCATTACTTATTCTGTGGCGAAACTGAATTTTAGTCTTTTAAATTGAAATACCTAAATAAGGGAGCGGCGACATTTTCCGCCGCACCGGACAGCTGACACTCACGCTACGCCACTGATTGCAGTGAGAATCACAAGTCAATGGTTGAAGCGATGGTACTTAGTATTGACCTTAGAATATGCTCTAATGCCTATTTTCATAAGGACTCAAAATAACTAACTTGAAAATTGTAAGATACAGCACATCTTAAGAAATTTTTATTCAAACTGGTAGGGTTCACTGTATGTCCCATTTTCAAAAACTTCACCTCACCACCCATTTTCTGTCATCTGGACCTCGAGGTCCTGCAAGGACAGCAAGGGTTTTTGGACTTTGTTGGATGTTTCCCTATTGTTGCTAGTTGTGAAGGAACCCCGTTAACAGTTCAGGGCACCAAAAATGTAGGTCTGCCTCTGCATAACCCAAATATTTTCTACAGGTTTTATATACGGATTACAAGTTAACTTTCTAAAACGTTGTTGGTTTTTTTTTGACAATTTTTGCCGTGAGCATTAATAGGGCTTTTTCAAAGCCCATCACGGGTTTGGCCAGACCAAGAATGGGACATCTAGATTGTGATGAACAAGGTCTGGCATATCAATGATAGACTATTGTAAAAAATTCCTATGCTTTTTGACGGTCCAGATTCAATCCTGGATCACAGTGTTGTGGGCAGATGCCATAACTGCTTTGAAACTTTAAATGTCTGTTCCAGACTACCTAAGTATATGCCTGAAATGTCTAATGAACAAACCAGTTATGACTTGTTTACATATTTTGACATTTAAGGAGTCTTCAATTTTATTTAATAATGCATTTTTGTTAATAATAATTATTTGTTTCTAAATGATGATAATTATAGTCTTATATGTATCTATTATAATATTCACAATAATCAAAACAAGTAGACTGCAAAATCTGACTGACAATGGTTGTCAGTTGATTTACTATGCTAATGGCTTATAGTGCATGGTGCACACAGTATAAGCTGTTTGACAATGCTATTACAGTATATGCAGCATGAGATACCTGACAATAGCTAGGATAACACACACAAAAAATTAAATTGTTTAGTAATTTATTTTGATAAATTATCTTCTCCAATAATGAAAGTTTCAACTCTAGCATGCAGATGACACAGATAATTAAATTTATTAATATGAAAAATAGAATGAAAGCAAATGCTGTGTCTAATGAATAAATTATTTGGCCAAGTGTAAATTTATAAAAAGTAGTTTGAAAACTTTTATAAATCATTCTACCAGAACAATAGTATGACTCAAAACCAAGAAAATATTATGCGATACTTATCTAAGTCTTTGTACGCTATAACTAATTTATTGTGACTCGTATAATTGTTTGGAAAGTTATTAACCACCACAGCTTACGTCCTTGGCTCTAAATTACACGCAAAATGACTGGCAAACTGAAAACAGTTCCATATCCTACTTCCCAGGGTCTGATTTACAGGAAAAATGCATCCATTATCAGTGTGTTAAAATCAACCAAGATATACTGTGTCTGTGTGTGTCTGAAGTGAATATTTTAAAATAATAATAAATTTTGAGATTGCACACAAAAATTATTGCTGTATTCCAGCGGATCAGATCATATATCAAAGTATGAATTTATGATACTATATCTGTATAATAATCTCAGAGATGACTTGAAAATGTTATTAAAAAAAGTGCATATCACACTGTCTGGTTCTTATTATAAACTTGAGTCTGTATGTCTGGTTCTTGTAAATTTTAATCATTGTATAACCTGTTTTGATGTTACAAAACGTTATACTTTGTTCTAGAAAAAATTTAATTACTATAATAATCTAACTATAAATGTATTGTTAAACTAGGAAAGTTTTTAAAATAGATTTTAAATTGTTCTAATGGTGTTTAAGCAATTTTGGACTTATATTTAATTACTAACAACTAGAAAATTAATTTGTAATAATATTTGTTGACAGTAAAAAGTAAATATTCACGAATCATTATCTAGAACCATTAATGTTTTTAGCTTTCTTTTGTTAATGAGAATTAAATTTTTTGTCATTGATTTGTAAAATATTTCAAGATCATTTGCAATTTATTTTTGTTCCATAACTTTTATTCAAGTTATTTGGCACAATAAACTTAATTAGTATAATCTTGAAAGATGTCACAAAACTATTTAATAAATATTAATATTGATACCAGTATCAAATGTCTGGAGTTTTAAATCTGAATTTAGAGGTAAATTTTACTTTAAATTTAATGTTTCTCCTCATATTTTACATTTAAGATCCTATATAGTTATTGGTGTTGAAAATCAATACAATATGTGGTTTGATTCCTTATTCTTAAGTTTTTGTTTGTAACATTTTGGAATAACTGCATGTCATTATTTATATTCAACTGCTTCTTTGAAAGCAACCAAATCATGAATAATATGCAACCATTCTAAACTTATAATTTGTTTTGGATGACCATATATAAGGTCCTCCAAAAATAATGCTACCATTTTAAATTATTGTGATTATGTTAATTACAACCTGAGATGCATGCAATATGCATCAATTGATAGAGTATATGTCTGAGTTTCATCTATGTCTACATACAAACATCTTTTTGTCAGCTGCATCTAGGAAGTGCCCCTAGGAAAACTGGCAACTGCACAACAAAGAAAGCATTTTGTGTTCTGCAGTTTGCAAAAATTGATTGCCTTAAATGATGGATCAATTTGAAATTGTCTGGAAAACATGAATTTTGCAGACAATTTCAAAGTGAACCACTATGTAAAGCAAACATTCTTATTGCACAAAGATGACTGATTCCAAGTTTGCAGACTGCAGAACAAATAAAGTGCCTTCTCTGTTGCAAAGTTGCCATTTTTGTTTACAGTTCTTCTACAGTAAGTAGACAAAAAGACATTTATAGAAGTATGAGATTGTTTAAAGTTCAGAAAATGCAGGACAGAAATTTCAAAACATACTTTATTACGGTCTTTAGTGAATTAACATTATCCGAAACCCGTATCCATCTAATACACGTATATAAATATAAACGAATACTTTCTTTGAAAAACATTTATTTGAAGTGTATGCTCTGAAGAAAGATTACACTTAAATTTGGTCATTCATAGAATGACAACACAAAACTAAAGAATATATACATACGTAATGTTCAAACTTAAACAAAACGAAAACAATTTAACAAGAACTAATGTAAAAACAAAAAGAAAAAAAAAACAACAACTTGACAATGAATAAAAAGACTGTTTTTACCCAAAGCCACTTAATGTTTGTAACTATGCTTTGATATATAGAATTAACAAACTATAAAATGTGGCCGTAACCTTCGGTTTACATTTTACGAACCTAAACAAACCAAAATAAGTAACCATGCATAGTGTGACTTGCATAATTTTAATTAAAAAAAGAAAAATTATTATTGTTATTTTTGTTTTTTAATAAAATTTTAAAACTTTTTCAATTTTTTTTGTGTTTTTAGACTTTTGTATGTTACAAAGTTGTAGCTATTTATTTATATTTATATATATATATATATGTATATAATTTTTTATTATTTACACTACTCGTTTCTGATTTAGTGAAATTGAATAAAATCATCATACCACTGATACCAAAAACCATATAGTTATGATACGTTGAAGTGAAGAATTAATGAACTTGTGACGCAATTATAATCCTTTGCTAATATTTCTAAATTTGATATCTAAATTTCTTGTGTGTTTTTTCCCCCTTTGATAATTCACAAAATATTTAATTATGAAAATATCAAATGAAATGTTCTAAATGTGATATTCTGAATATCTTGTATAATCATGCTATAATGAAGTTAAATATTAAAACATATAAAGTCAGACTATTCTTGTTTTGAATGTGGATTTTTAACTTGTCTAACAAATGTCCATTTCATGTTTTGGTACCAAAACTACTAATCTAACTGGAACATTACCTGGTTTGCAAAGTTGACCATACACTTAGTCCTATATTGGGGATCAAATTCTGCAGATTGATTACACATCCAAAATGCATTGGGAAGATTACAATTTTCGAATGCCTTGTTTGCAACTTCCGCGTTGTTGTTGTTGTAATACTTTGGCTTATTGTCATAAATCCAATTACCACCTTCCTCTTTACTAATCCTGTTGTTATTTCTTTTCAGAATATTCTGTTCTAGTAGCTGGTTGCTGGCAGGTGCATTTGTCAAGTGGTTTGCATTGTTCTTTTTGTTGCGCCACCTTCTCCTTTTCCGGAATTTGTTTTTCTGTTTGGTCTCTCCGTGGGGATTATCTCCTTTCTGAGAACCTTTGTCATTTCTTTTCTCGCCAGGTTTATAAAGGCAGTGAGATTTGACAAAATTTGAAATGCCCGAAGATTTCTCTATGGGTTTCTGAAAGTTTGCAGCTGATGAAGGTCTCTGCATGATTGTGATTTTCTGGTTTTCTTTTAGACCAAATGTAAACTGTTGACTAGATTTTGACATAGTCATTTTGTTATTATTTTCACATTGTGACTCTATACAACAGTTATTATTTGAACTGACAGATAGTTGTTCTTTCTTATCAAATTCATTTTTACTTAACTGAATCTTTTCCACATCTAAAATGGTATTATCAGCATTTTTATTTTCTTGCCAAGTATATAATTTCCTTCCGTATTTACTTAAGTCATCAGGTCCCAATTCAGATTCATTTGTGCTGTTATAGTCAGAATTTTCTTCCGAAGTTTCAGTGCAGTTGTCACTCTCAGATGTTCTGTTTGCCATTTTCTTTCTATTACGTGCCTTTCTTTGATTCTTCTTTCGCTGACCCAAAATACTTGAATTAGCTCTGTCAGGGATATATAAAAGTTATATGTTCTAGTTTTAGTTGAAATAATTTAATATTATATAGTATAAAATTATAAAATTTGGTTAGAATTATAGTAAAAGCATTTAAATCCTTTTTTCTATTAAATATGAAGATTTGGATTAAGAAAAATATTAATTTACATTATAAATATGTTGATTGTCATTGTAGAAGTATATAAAACAAAATCTTTACCATCCAGTAAATAATTTTGATGTAAAATCCGATAAATGGTTTTGATTTTACAGAAGATCTGCATCAGGTCAACAGCATTCTAAATTGAAATGCACAGAATCAATTTTTAAATTTTTAAACAATTCGAACAAACTTAAAAATATGTAAAATATAGAATTGTATACATAAAGATTTGGTATCATTTTTAAGATGTATAAAATTAAAACAGAAGCAAATATATGACAAAAATAGAATTTATTATTATTATTTTGTAATAATTTTATTGTCATATATTTAATTTTATACATCCTAAAAATGCCACCAAATCTTTATGTATACAATTCTATATTTTACATATTTTTAAGTTTGTTCGAATTGTTTAAAAATTTAAATATTGATTCTGTGCATTTCAATTTAGAATGCTGTTGACCTGATGCAGATCTTCTGTAAAATCAAAAACATTTATTGGATTTTACATTAAAATTATTTACTAGATAGTAAAGCTTTTGTTTAATGTACAGTACTTAGTCATCGATCCAGTTATCGAGAAGGTAGTCAGTGTGGAGTGCCAATCTAATTAGTTCATTGAAAAGAGGTCTTTCAGAAAGAGGTGACGTAAAAATGCAACTACCAAGAGAGTAATTTATATCTTTTGATGAACGATAGACTAATTAAAATTAGATAAGATGTAATAAATCATTTTTTGTAAATAACCTACTCTATTACACTCCTCAAAAGTAAAATTGCAACACCAGAAAAGAATGTGCAAAGCTACATGCACATTGCAGGATTGGTAGAGGTTAGACATATATACAGTACAAATAATTAAAGGAACAAAGATATGCAACAAACACCTATTTATTCTCTAATGAATATGGCCCCCCATGGGCAGCTATACAATCTGTTAAATGGCAAGGCATACTATCAATGAGACAATTAATGGTTGCCTGAAGTAGCCCATGCTAAGCTGCATGCATCCACTGCAACATGCATGTCATTTATAGTATGTGATGATAGTTTGCAGTGCACCTCACATACGATGAGCTCCCATGAGTGTTCAATGGGAGAGAGATCTGGTGAAACTGCCAGCCAGGGAATAATGTGAATTCCATTCAGTTGGTGAGAGTTTGCCATACAACATGCTGTCGGGCATTGTCTTGCTGGAACACTGTATCTGATGCAGCCTGCACTAGTGAGCCCCACAATTTATATGATGAACTGGTCTATTATTGGAGTACCAAAAATGTGCACCAGGTTATCCACTGATCAAACACAATGCCTCCCAACTGCAATTTCCAGTGTGGGGCCAGTGTGATGCTCAACAAAAAGGGCTTGCATGTAGTTCCCCAAGATACTGCCACACCCATCCACAGTCTAATGACTATGGATGGGTGTCCACATTCCTCCACAAACAGAAGTGGGATTAATTTGTAAATAACACCTGATGTCATTCAGTAATCAAGTTGCCATGACAAATACCATGCCAGATGTGTAGCCATGTATCAAGCAGTTAACGACACCCTCATTGCTGGTTGCCATGCATGCAGTCAACTTTGTGCAACCTGTTGCAAATGGTTTGAGTGGGCACAGATTTACCTGTTGACAGCAACAGGCAGCTTGGATGTCATGTGCTGTGGTGAACAGGTCGTAATGGAAACTATGAAATTTGTGCAGTCTGTCATGTGCTAGTGCAATCCATTCCTTCTTCAGCATGTTTGCATATGTTCCTGTGTCCATCATGTCACACATCACCAGATAGTACTGAAGTTGTGCCCAACACACCTGGCAAATGCACACATTGACAGAGAGGTTGTACAGAATGAGGTCTTGTTCTCCAGCCATTAACTGGTGGTATTCTGCTCACTGTCATCTCATGCATTCTCTATGTTTCTTCAAAAGTTTTGTTGCAATGAACCAACACCGACAGCATTTACAGCCCAAGCTGGTTGCTGGCCTTTATTACACAAAACTAGATACTAAATAACCGCATGCATACACAAACTTAATCATTTGCACATCCCTGTCACATCTACTGTTCTTCAATTTGCAGGTGTATATGTGCATTTGTTTATGTGATGCAATTTCACTTTTAAGGAGTGTAAATAACAACTCATAGCATTCAATTTCCACCAGCAAATCAAAGCAATACTCAGAGAACAGATTAATAATTAAGTATTGGTTTGACATGTTGAAGATTTTGTATCCTTACTATAGTTTTCTAGCAGAAGAGTAAACATGAGTCAGCCTGAGCAGGAAGTGGGCTTCATCAGATAAAAGGACTGGAAGGAGAAATGTGGTTCCTCACTTGGAAGTTGAGGCATGGATCTGACATCTTTCAACCATTTTGTTTTTTACATCTTTAAAACAATTTTATTTCATCTTTATAATAAATAATTTTGTTATTTTATTTTTTCACAAATTTCATTAATTACTTTTTATTCTAATGTTCTCACACATTATTCACATGCCTCCTTCATACCTTTCATCTGCAATAGACCTTCCAGATTGGGCTGACCCATGTCTACACTTTTACAGTGGAGACTATAGTAACAAAAATGTTTCATAGTAAATTGAATTTATGTCTCATATCTAGCTGTATAAATTAGATATTAGATTATTATTGTCCTAACAGAAAAACTTTGACAGATAATCAAACTGCAACAACATTAATATTATATGCTGCATCATCATAAGCAGAACCAACGTTTATATACTTGCAATATGTAAATTTTTTATTATTTTTGTTGAAAATGAACAAGTCTATCTGATCAACAGCATTCCCAGTTAGTTTTATGATTAATATGCAAATCTTTCTTTTTACTCCTCTAAAACTATAATGAAAATAATTAAGGTTATAATGGATATGTTTTTAAGATCTAAATCTAAATTTATGTTTTATCAGAACTGTTAAAGCATATCATATCATTTAAGCATTTATATTGCATTTTATTTTTTATTTTTATTCTTACTGGTTTACTAAAATATCGCTACTTTAATTTGTATTGTTTACAATTATTGTGTTATTTTGTGTTTTCCTGTTCTAATACAGAAACTAAGTGATGTAAGTGCTGATGAAAATACTAATAATGAATTAAACTGAAAACTGTAAATGTTATTACATCATATGATCTAGTCAATGATTGCACAGTATAAAAAATAATTATATCTGTATTATTCATCATAATTATATTTGTATTATCAAAGATATTTTCACCCTCAATCTACATGACAGAACCATATCAACCTTGCTAGATTATTAAAAAAGAAAAACAAGCAATATTTAAGAATGCACATATTCTGTTATTTGTGCAAAAAGTTTCTTGTACTAAAACTATATTTGCCATTATTAGAAAAAATCTTTACAAACTCTCATTTTTTTGTGAGCAGCCTTTATCTTTTCTATATATTGTTATAAAGCTATTTCAAACCAGCTGATAACTAATTGAAGTATTAAAATAAACAGCTGGATTCTTATTGGACTACATTAATGCTAATTAATTTGAATAAAGGTAGGCAGTTAAGCTGCCATCTTATGTTAAATTCTGGAAGAAGGAATTGACCTAGTGGGACTTGAATCTGCAACACATGCATATCATACAGATACGTTGCCAGTTAACTATCCAGATAACTCACAGCACAAAATGGGAACAACTTAGTGTCCACAGCCCTCCATGCCAGATGTTAAGTCATCCACATTTTGCACCATGGTGACCACTATGGTTATATCTAAATTAATTGGTATGTAAGCAAAGATCAACGTAGATCCAGATAGTGTAATGGCAAAACATCTGTATGATAAATAGAAGTTGCAAGTTTTGGGCCAATCTTTTCTCCTACAATATTCTAAATTAAATTATTTCTAATTATTTAATTTAATATGAGATGGCTACTTCTGGACAAATTACTTAATTCCTTAGTATGGTCCAATAAGATTCTTGCTTATGAGTAAGCATAAAATTGCTTGAGAGAACACATCATATAGGAACACAACTAAGATGGAAACACAGGCTTTTATTGTTTCTTTCACCAACTTTTTAATTTACAGTTTTAATTGCATTTTATTATACTCCCTCCTTTTATAATTTACAAAACATTCAACTTTTTACACCAACTTTTAATTTTTATTGTTTTAATAGAATTTTACCATAACCCCCATTTATAAAATACAAGTATTTTATTGTACTGTACATTGGAATCCAGTTGTCAATATTATGTATAACATACATGTAATTTCTATCATCAAGATTGCTGTAAAGTTTAAAAGAGGACCAATGAGGGATATGTTGTTCAAAATGCATATTCTCAGAAACCAATATAAGCCTGTGTTTCCATCTTAGTTGTGTTCCTATATGATTTGGTCTCTCAAACAATTTTACGCTTACTCATAAGAATTACAAGAGCAAAATGCAATTTAGTACAAAAGAATCTTGCTGTTCATTGAAATATTAAAATATCTTTACTTTTATTTAATAATTACTTTTTATCAATATTAGAAGTGGAATAATGCCAAACATAATGCATTTGTTATTTTGAGAAGAAAACATGATACTAATTTATTATCAATTCTTAATTCTACAAATATGTTATCTGATAACATCTGTAGCCATGTCTTGTTATAAGCAATAAATGACCACAGGCTTACCATACTATTGAAGTCTTACATGACTATTGTCAAATTAATTTTCTTAAAAAAGTAAGTTTTAAACATTGGCTTGACTTTTCTCTATTCAGTGGTGCAATTAAATGTTAAGAATGGATCTGTCTAGCATAGGGGAAATCTCTTATAATTTCTTTGATTTTGCAGTCAT